TCCGAGGTCACAACCTCTCGCATCATGCAACAGGTTTGGGCTCCCGAGGCCCGGATGCCTCCAAGACGGCCCAATATCACTCCAAGACTGGCCACTTTGACCTCAAGACGGCCCAAGATGTCTTCAAGACGGTCCACGAGGCCGTCGAGATGTCCCAAGAGAGCGCCACATAGCCTTCCCAAGGCACAACAGTCATTGATGTCCCTTAGGTGTTTCAATGTGGTTCGGGTTCTCGTCTTTTCGAGCTTCCGACATCCCAAGACGACACAAGAGGCCACTGACTGCCCCAAAACAACACAAGAGGCCCCGAAGAGGGCCCCAATACGGACCAAGAGGGCTCCAAGAATGCCCCAGAGGCGCCCAAGAGGACCCCAAGACGGCTCTAAGAAGGGCCCACGCAGGTGAATACAAACCGCCCCAAAAAGGCCAAAAGAGGCCCCCAAAGGACCCGAGATGCACGAACCATTGATTTCCCGTAGCGTGTTCAATGTTTCTGGGATTCTCTATTTCTCGAAAGTCCGACGCTCCAAGACGGCCCCAGAAGCCCCCAAGACTCCCCGAGAGAGCTCCAAGACGGCCCAAGCAGGCTCCAAGACGGCCCAAGAGGCGCCCAAGACTGCCCCAGAGGGCCGCAGGACGGCCCCAAGAATTGCCAAAGGGCTGGAACACGAACTCAGAATCCGACCCTTCTGCCCCAAGAGGCCCCCAGCAGCTCCCTTGCCTTCTCGAGTAATTGCCACCCTGAAGACTGTCCTGGCGCGGGTGGCGGAATTGCCGGTGGCTGCTGGGCACATGATTATCCCCAAAACAACACATGCGCTCAAGGGTTCTCACTTGGGTTTCCTGTATAATCGGGTGGGAGTCCAGGGCCTACAATCAAAATCTTTATCAAGGACGCGTGGTAAGGACCCATGACCCTTGGAAGCCGAAGCTGGGATATCTTGGGCGGCAGGCGGCCGTGACCCCGGGGACGCAGAGGCAGAGGCAGGCAGGGACCAAAGGGCACTGCGGGTTTCGTAATAAGCGTGGGGGGGTCCCCCCCCGACGGGGGTCAACCTCGCCTCGTCGTCGCGCCGCGACGGGGGTCGGAGCGCCTTCGGCGCGCGGTGGCTGCCCGCGACGGGGGTCGATGCGGGGCTGCCGGCGGGGGTGACGCCCCCCCCCCGACGCTTATGAAGAAACTCGGAGTACCCTAGAGAGAGGCGCGCGTCCTTCCTGTGGCTTCTGGCTGCACGCCACGTTAGCACCCCGTGCCCGCCCGTGGGGGCCTCGTGGGCGCCCCGTGCACCGGGCGCGCGTCCAGAGGCCTCGCCCGCCTCGCGGGAGGGCCTCGCGGGCGCCCCGTGCGCGGGCGGGCGTCCCGAGCTTGCGCCGCGCAGGCGCCCGATGCCCGGCCCGTTGGGCCCCTCGAGGGCGCCGCGTGCCCCGTGCGCCCGGACTGGTGTGCCCGAAGCTTCGCAACGCTCCCGCCCGCGGCCCGCTCTTGGGCGCCTCGTGGGCGCCCCGGGCGCTGGGTGAGGGTCCAGATGTCGCTCGTATATGAAGTCGCCCTCAAGCTGGCTATGCTGGCACAGTGCACGCAGTGAGCATGAGCGCTCGGCCAGCACATGCGCTGGCCAGAGCAGATTCAGGCCGTGACCCTCTCGTAGGCGCCTCGTGCCCGCGCCGTGTGCCACCACGAGGCTTACACCACACAGGAGGCACAACACAGCTCACACTACGTGGTCGGCACTGCACAGCTTGCACAACGTATCGTGCACCACATGACTTACACTGTGTAGTGTAAACCGCATGACTCACAATGCATCGATTCCACAACATTGCATAATCCGCGTTGCTTCCACCTCTACAATGTAATAAGTCACTGTTTGGGTTCCACGCCGACTAAAAGTTATTGCACACCTACATTTACGTATGCATACACATCGGTGGCTGCTCACACACGCACACGCACACACACACACACTCATCAAAGTATGTATGTGTAGTGGAGCTGTGTACTACAGTGCGCAGACATGCAAGCCTGCATACACATGCACATGGCCAACTGCGACATGTAAGCCCACATCCTGCATGGCAGAAGCCCTGGGATGGACCACCCATCCACCAGTCCGCCCCATAATTCATGTGCCCCTCTTGGGCAGCCCGCAGGAGGGTTCCAAACGCGAAGCCCCTGGGGGACCCCTCCTGAAAAAAAACTCCCCAAAAACCCCATCGGGAACCCTCCACACCCCACAATCCACCCCTCGGGATGGACCACCCATCCACCCGTCACCCCCATAATGAACGTGCCCCTCTTGGGCAGCCCGTGTCGAGCTATCCTTCGGCACCTGCCGGGCCTAGAGAGATTGACCCCAAAACAATGAGGAGGACGCCCAAGCGGCCGCACGAGAGCCCGAGGCGGCTCCGGGAATGCCCGAAACGGCTCCTAACAGACCAGAAAGACTTCCCAGATGCCCCCAGAAAAGAAACAACCAATCATGTCCTCATGGTCTTCGCGCGGTCTCGGTGTACCCGCGTCTTCGGTCTACTGGGCGTCCGAGACCTCCCCAATGCCCCTATGATCGCTCCAAGACGGTTTCAAGAGAGCCCCGGAGATCTCCAAGACCGCGCATCAGGACCCCAGGACGGCCAAAAGAGAGCCACCTCCCGGCACCAAGTTGACCCAGAGACGCTCCCGGAGCACCACCAGAGAGCCCAGACCCCCAAAAATCCCGAAGACGACACAACGAGTACCACCAGGGGGGCCCCGGAAACAAACGAACAAACCATAGCTCGAGCTTCCCCTGAACATTTTGCACGATGTTGGTATAGGCGGGCTCCTTCGGTCATCCCGAAGTCCGAGCACCGAGAAGCGTTCAAGAGAGCCCCCAAGGAGCATCAAGACAGGCCTGACGGCCAAAGGGGAGCCCCCAGACGGCACAATTGCACTGCAGAGCGCCCCCTAGAAGCTCCGAGAGCCCCGAGTGGCCCCCCCAAACCCAAGATCTCCCCACTACGACAGAATAGATACACTTCGAAGGCGCCAGAAAGTCGCAAACCATTGTTTGTCCAAAGGTTATTGTATGGTCTCGGTCTACCCTGTTCTTCGGTCTTCTGGGCGTCCGAGACCGCCAAAGAGGTACTCAAGATCGCCCCAAGAAGGCCCGAGGAGGACCCAAATCGCTGCGAGACCGCCCAACAGCAGGCCCTACGAGAGCCCCCATCACAGCACAAGTTGACCCCAAGATGAATCCCAGAGCACTCCCAGGCCGCCAGAAAGGATCTACGAGACCCACGAGCGGGCCCAGAACCCCAGGAGACTTTCATGATGACCAAAAGTAGAGTGCAGAAAATCCCCCCCCCCACAGTATATCACCCCGACATGCGAAGCCGTTTAGTAAACGCACCCAAGGCAGTAATCGAACAGGGCAGGGCTTTCTAGTAAACGCCCAGGGCTGCTTAGCACACCCCAATTGTCAGGGTCTGAATGATTTTCCCTGCCTTGAAAATCGGCGGTGAACAAACCTCCCTTTCGTAAACCACCCTTGAATGAAAACGGCCCAGGACCGAAACCGACGGACCCCGACCTGCAAAAATGACGGCCGCGACGCCCTCCCGCGACGCGAAGACGGCCAAGTCGCTACTCGACGTGTCGGGGTAGGAGGTCTGTCCACCCCCGACAGAAGGCCCAGTGCGGCGGGGATCCCCAGAGGCCCCTCCGACACAAGAAGCCACCCTGCCGTGGAGCCGGCGACCCCCGCACTGGCGGAGCTTCCGGCGCCGCTCCACGGAGTCTCCACGCGCCGTGGCGCAGACCAGCGGGGACGAGGCGAACGGGCACGAGCGATGCGGTTAACCTCCGAGAAACAGGGAAACCTCAAGAGGCGACCACTGTCTGTCAACCTTGCTGCTTCGCACATGCTCGGACGCCCGCTCTTGTCGGCCTCCCCGGGGGGCCCAAGGCCGTCCAACCAAGAGAGGCCCCCCAAAGATGGGCGCACAACGCGCCAGGCGAGCGCCCTGGTGTGGCTCCAGGAGCCCCAAGACCTCCCAAAGTAGACGAGCGCGTTCCACTACTCGCAAAGTGACTACTCGAAAATGGCCTGGATCCGCCGCGGGGGATCTACGATATACTACACAGAGGCAGACGTATGGTTGTTCTGACGTTTGCGAGGAAGCACTTTGCGAGTAGTGGAACGCGCTCGGCGACAAAAGGGAGCCCCAAAGACAGCCCAACATCATGTCAAACATCTCCCTCGCCATTCACAGCATTCGGGGGGCGTCCAAGAGGGGGGCGTCCAAGAGGGGGGGTGCGCAAATCATGGCCGGCGGCATGTGCGCGGCCCAAGGGGGGGCCAGGGACGTAATGAAATAAGAAGAGGTGCCACGAAGAGACATCATGGCCCCTGCCATGGATCTTCACCCCCCTAGTCATCACCCCCTCCTGGCCGCTCCCGAAGCATGCTGCGCTTTATTGTCTTTGGAATGTTTCCTTACGCGCACCGTCCATGTTCATTCCCAACTTTCCTTTGGGCCACTCCCTCCTGTGGGCCGACGTCATGCTTCGCACGGGGGGTGGGCGCTTGAACTTCTGTCGGCCATGCCGCCTTTGCATCGATCTGTGCTGCTTGCGCCCGCTCCGAAGAGGAATAGAGAACACTATGTTTCCTCCCCCCCTTCCCCCTTCCCTGCGTTCAAACGCTACTGTGCCTCAGGCGCGATTGAAGGGCGTCGCGGCACACTGCTGCCGTGTGGTGCTACGCTTATCGTGTGATTGGCACGTGCGCTGGATGGGTCCAGAACGCGCACTTCGATATTGTCATACGAGTTGGCATCCAATGTATGTAAGACTACGCAGAGACCACGCACGCACACACACACACAACCCACAAAACAAACACACACACACAGTCCACACAACACACACACACACTCCCCAAAACAAACACACACCCACACACACAGACACACGCACATACACACAAACGCAAACCACAACTGGTCTCGGAAGGAGCAGCCTCTGGCCGCCAGAGGTCGGCTGCCTCGGGGTCTGGCTTCGGCGCGGGCTCCTGTGCGGAGGCCAGCATCTGCATACGCATCCAGCCCCTTGGACCCAGGACATCGCCCTCCCCCCCCCAAGGCAGACGTGCGTGTGACTACCTACCAACCCACCCCGACCAAACCCGAAGTCACCGTTGGCTTGATGATTCCAGTGGGGGGCACACCAAAACGTCGAGGAAACACGACGGAACCCGTATGCCCCCGAACCCGAAATTTGGGGTGGTCTAGGGCCTTCGGGTTGAGTGGGGGTGGCTCGGTAAGTACCCATCGGTCGGAAGAAGCAGGTAGAAACATGAAGTAGGCAGGCGTTGAAAGCAGATTGGGTGCCCGCCCGCCCCCTAAGGAGGACGGAAAAGGTGAAGCCACCCGATCATGGAAGCAGGAGGGCGCCTCAAGCAGGCTGGAATCGGGGAGTCCAGAAATACCGACTTCCAAAGACCAGTGGGTAGTGGGTGCCTGCAAACTTTGGACTCGGATCCTGCACGCTGGCATTGAGTTCAGCCACGGTGTCGTTCGTCACCCCGTGGTCCTCCGTGTGCGCCGCGCTGTCCGCCGCCACCGTACCGCTCGCCGCCCCCGCGCCGCCCGTGGACTGCTCGGCGTGCTCGCCGGAGGCGCGGCCCGCGTCTGGCGCGCTGTCGTTGGCCACGGGTGCCTGGGAAGCCCCCTCGTCCCCAGACCCCCTCGCGCTGAGGGGAAACAAAAAAAAAAAAAAAGCACGACAGGATTTGTGTCCCCATTTTCGGCCTCCGGGGGCCTCGGGGCCGTCAAGAGAAAACTCGGGATGAGACACCGGACCCGAGGAAGGGGTCCAGACCTCTGGGGGTCGACGTTGCGAGAAGAACACGACGTCGGAGGTGATTGAATTGGCCAATTGTCCACAACCGCCACCACATATATATATATATATATATATAAATAGGTAGGACGGGGGAGACGGGAGGATGGGGAGGTCCTCCTTCTTCTTCTCCTCTTCCTCCTCCTCATCCCTCTCCTACCTATGGTAAAGGTGGTCGGACATAGAAAGAGAACAACGCCATAAACATAAACGTTTGGCGCTCCGCGCCGATTGCTTGGATCTGCGCTGGACACCCCATCCCCCTCCCTGGCGCGCGGAGCGCGCCAGAAGCGGCGCTGGAGGCGCCGCTGGGCGATGCATCGCCGATACATCGGCGATGCATCGCCGATGCATCGGCCATGCACTCGCGACGTCGGCGATAAATCCGCGACGTCGGCGTGAAGAAAATCGGCCTCCGCATCGAGCCGCATCGCCGATGCATCGGCGACGCGGCGCGATCCTCCGACCCCATCTACTTGGACCCCATCTGGGAGGCATAGAAGGAGTCTGGGTCTGACGTTAGGTCGGGCATGTCCCCTTAAGGCGGATGTTGGGCGCCAGGAAAAAAAATGCCCCCCCCCCTCCAAGTAGCCCAACCCTAACAGAAAGATCGCCCCCAGACACTATTCTTTGACTATTCTCGGATATCCGATATCCCCCCTGTAGAGGGGCACGCCCGACTGAAGTCTGGGTCTGACGGCAGCGCCTGCGCCTCCGCCGGCGGCGCGGCGGCGGCGGTCGCGCGCGGCTCCTCGGTGGTGGGGCCCTGCGCGGAGGGGGCCTCGGCGGCGGCCGCGCAGGGCCGCGGGCAGAGGCTCCCCCGGGTCTGGTGGAGGTGCGCCTGGAACTCCTCGTTTCGGGTGCTTCCAGAATCAGGTTTGGGCCTGTCCCCCTACAGGCCGATTCTCTAGGAAGAATAAAGAATAGTCAAAACAAATTCAAACGTTGTCAAACAATGCAAAAAAAAACGTCCCCCGACTATTTTTTACTATTTTACAATATTTCTCCTGTAGAGGGACAGGCCCGACTTAACCCAAGTCCAAGGTGCCCCCAGGCTTTCCAGGGAGGCTCCCACCGCCTCTCGAGCACCCCGCACGAGGCCCAGAGGGTCCCGGGGGCTCCAAAATGAAGCAAGGCTGGGGGCACCTTGGGCCAGGGATGCCTCCAGCAACCCCCGGCCCCCTGGTCTGGTGGAGGTGCGCCTGGAACTCCTCTTGCCGCGAAAGCGGCGGCGAGCGAGAGGGGGGGGGAGTGAGGAGGTCGAATCGGAGGATCCGAGACTCGAGGTTCGAGGCTTTTCGGGCTCTTTGTCGGTTCTCGGCGGTTTTCTGGCCTCGGGAGGCATTCCGGCGGCGGCGCCTCGCCGAGGGCGTTCCGGGCGTGCCTGGATCGTCCCGAAAGGCCGCCAGAGACGCTAGGTATGACCCGAAAAATGAACTCGGCGGCGTGCCCAGGGGGGGGGGGGGAAACGAGAAGGAGAGAGCCGTCTCAGAAGGCGGCGGGGCTTCTCGAAAGCCCTCGCGCATTCTGAAAAGTATCCTACGTCTTCGGGGAAGGCTGGAAAACTTCTCAGAAGGCCGGGGGAATTCCGAGCCTTCTGAGAAGGCCTGCCCCTGCTCACTTCCCACCGTCGCTCGCCGCCGAGTGAAGGAGACGGGGGCCCTGAGGCGATCGGGTCCTGAACCCGGGGCTTTCCCGAGAACCAGCCCTCCATGGGACGCGCAAGGACATACTGGTGCCATGTGTCCTCCTCGGAGGCGTGCGCCCGACCCGAGTGCATATCATGGAGCACGTCCATATTGCAAGGGATGGCTTCTGGAGCGGTACGGCCAGAAAGCGCCCGCCACCAGGCACATGCTGAGGATTTCTTGGCGCGCGCGTCGCCTATTCGGGGGCGGCGCACACCTAGCATTAGTGTGCCTGGATGGCGCCGACTCCATCCTGAGTTGTTGGCAGACCTCGTGTTGCATGTTCGGAGGGCCTTGTCTGTCACATCGCGACGCTATCCGCGTCGAATCCGTGCCTGCTCCATGGCGCATCCTCGAGTCCATGTCGCCTCCGCGTCGAATCCTCGCCGAACCCGCGTTGATCTTCTGCTGCATCTGCGGAAGACCCTGTCTGTCCCGTCGCGCCGCGCGCCGACTCCACGGCGCATCCTCGAGTCCGTGTCGACTCCGCGTCGAGTCCGCGTCCAATCCACACCGAACCCGCGCCGAAACACGCGTCAGACATACGTCGGGCACCAGGAACCAAAAAAGGACCGACACTTACTTGGATCGCTGCGGGGGTGGGTAAAGGGATACGGGGGGGGGGAGGAATGGATACCAGGTCGCATATACCTGGCAGAACCCAACTTACACATGGGTGGCACATCCTCCAACTGGCTCTTCAGGGCGTACAGATCTGGGCAAAGTAGGCGGAGCCCGCTCAGCGGAGTCACACCTTATCATCCCAAGCCGCGTGGGGCACTGTAAGAGGGGGAGAAGGAGGAGGAGGAGAAGAAGGACCTCCCCATACTCCCCTCTCCCCCCAGCTACCTATGGTAGTGGTGGTGGAAAATGGGCCCACCAGCTTCAGCATCCACTTCTGGCCCCCCCATCCCCTCGGCAACCACCGCGGCGATCCGAGCACGGGACAGACACGGGCCCCCCGAAGCAAAAGCGTGCGGAACGGCCCGGGGGCCCCGCAGATGGCCCCCGACAGTGGCGAGGAGTGCAAGCAGCAGTCATCCAATTCGGAGGTGCTGCGGAGAGATCGCCGTGTGCACGTGGGCGATTTAGGAAGCCCTGACGCATAACATGTTTTCATCCCTTGGGGGGCACATCTTTCACTTCCGCCGCCTTGCGCCGGCGGAGGCGGCCTCGTTTTACTTCCGCTGACTTTCCGCCGCCCTTCCGCCGCCTTCCGCCGCGGAAGAGATGGGAACTCCTTGAGTCCACGAAGGTCAGATTCTTTTTGAAGCGCCCCATGTGTTTATGTTTGCCATGTTGCATTGTACGCAAGATTGTGTCGATCATGCACTTGCTGTGCTCGCATGCTGCTGCCAGTCTCATTAGAGTCCTGACGAGCCCCAGCAGGGGCGAAACGTTGACACGCGTACTGAAAAAGGCACGGATTTGAGAGCGCCAAACGAATAAGGTTTGAGGAGGATAGGAGCAGTGCGAGCGCCTCAGACGCCGTATGCTCGGCCCACGAGCGGATGGCTTCACAGAGATATCCATTTCCAGACCTTCGACGGCATGTTTTTTTCAAAACGTCGAGCCCCAGAGGTCTGGACCCCTTCCCATAGAGGCCCCAAGGATGGGGTCGGAATAGATGGGGTCAGTGGACCGCGCCGCATCGACGATACATCGGCGATGCATCGGCGATGCATCAACGATGCATCCGCGATGCGCCGGCGACGCATCGTCGACGTCGGCGGTACATCGGCGACGTCGACGTGAAGCAAATCGGGCTGCACATCGAGCCGCATCGGCGATACATCGGCGATGCGACGCGATCCTCCGACCCCATCTACTCCGACCCCCATCTAGGAGGCCTAGATCTCAGGGACTAATTTTTCATCCTGAGTTATTGGTTGACGGCCCCGGGGCCCCGTAAGGGCCCCCGTGAGGCCGAGAATAGAGAGAGTCCTCCCGTCGTGTTTTTTCAAAACGCGAAGGGGTCTGTTGAGCAGGGACCGACCGTCCCGGCATTCCTATAGGTCTACCACGAAGGACATGTTCGTAGAACTCCGAAATGGTATAATAGCATAAACAACTTTCTTAGAACAGGAAGCCGATGCGTTAAAACAAAACGGTCTCAGCCAGAACTGTTCTAAGAGCATTCCGTGCAGACCACAAAAAGGTTCGTAGAACATTCTTTGGTGTGCCTGTAGGCGAGCCAGGACACTTCGCCACTGCTTGAGTCTTGGTTCCTTGGAGGGGGCTATAAGTGCGGCCACGGCGAACACGCAACAAGACCCCCGGGGAAACCAGAAGGTACCGATACCGCTACTCCCGAGACCTCTGCCCAGCTGCGTTCCGACCAGAATCAAGCGGTGGCGACGAGGGCCTCCCAGGAAGGCGAACACAAGGGAAAACGGGCGAGGGGGCAGAGGTACGGGTACCTTCTCCTCCTCCGACCCCCCCCCCCTCACGGCCCTGCTCTGCACAGGCCCGTCCTTGAAGCTGGACCGAGCGGAGAGCTCGGGGTACCACGCCGGCCGCTCGAGGATGCCCTCTTCGGCGGCGGGCGAGCAGGGGGAAGGGAGGAGGAGAAGGCCTTCGCAGAAGGCGGCGGGGCTTCTCAGCAGTGCTCCAGCCTCCTGAGAAGTAGTCTTAGACGAGCACGCTCCACTACGCGCACATGGCCTGGATCCCCCGCGGGGGATCTACGATTCAAGGCATCAACGCAGACATGTATTCTTTTTCAAGACGTTTGCGAGTAGGCACTTTGCGAGTAGTGGAACGCGATCGGTGATAGTCTGCATCTTCGGGGAAGGCCTAGCAAACTTCGCAGAAGGCCGGGGGACTTCCGAGCCTTCGGAGAGGGCCCGCCCCGTTCTCGCTTCCCCCCCCGGGCTCGCCGCCGACCTTGGTCATGGCCCAGGTCACCGCCTGGTAGCATAACTCGCCCGCCCTCGCGTCGCGGCACTCGTCCGCCACTTCCGCGGGGGAGAGGCCCTGGGCCTCCGAGGCCTCCTGGGGGCAGCGCCTCACCGATCCCCACCTTGCCTGGGGCGACGGAGTCTACACATATCCACTGCTCCCTGACCGGGCCGATCCTCAGCCCCGCAGCGGTGTATACGCCACGCCCTCGTGGCTTGGACAGGGAGGGCGCATGCACAAATCCTGGGCCAAGGAAGGACCTGGCCAGGGAGCAGTGGGTATGTACATATAGATTTCGTCACCCAACTTACGAGGAAAATCCTGGAGGCCTCGCGCTGCGACTTGGGACCCAGCTCACGTCGGATCCACGCGGGATTGACGTTGCATCTGCGTCGGATATACGTGGGATTTACGTCAGACTTGCGTCGGAACATCGCCGCGCGAAAGTCGTGTCATGGGACGGACGTGTCGACTCGATAATAAGGACTCACTGGGCCGGATTAAGCCCGGGATGGAGCCCGAGTGAGCGGGGCCAAACGGGATTCCTCCAGAACCACAGGGGATTACACCAGAGTCGGCGCGTTTTCGACTAGGAATCTACCAGCGCCGAGTCCGAATAAACCTCCAAGGGGTTGCATCCTGAACCGTTTGCGTGGCCTTGGCCCCACAACCCGACCTAAATTACCCCCTATTCGTTGGGGCTTTGCGGAGCCTAATCCCCGACCGACAGGAAGGGTGGGTTAACGTGTCTGCGATATCTTTCGGCGCCGAGCCCAGAGGGGAAGTGAGAGGAAGCTGGCCTAACGAAAGCAAGACGGCCCAGGAGGCCACCAGGCCACTGACAAGGTTTGCGTTTCCAGAACACATGCTTGCCTTCAGTGGATGAATGGAACGAGACACGTTGTCTCCTCCAGCGAATCTCCAACAAATCTTCGCGCCTTACAACTCTCCCAGCGAATCGCCAAGAAACTTCCGCGACTTACAAATGGTCGGGCATCTGATCGAAAAGAAGGATTGCTCCAATAGAACCTCCAACAAAATCTCCCCCAGAGATTCCCCATCTACTTTACATAACATTTTCGGACACTATCCGAAGATATCTGCAGGCCGGAGATTCGCCGGAGATGTTCCTAAAACTTCTGGGAATTGCTGCACGTCAGCGATTTTCAATAGATTCTGCGCCTCGTAGCTTTTCTGGAGATCTCCCCAGAGACTTCTGAAATCCGAGATGTTCCATAGATGCCCTATGAGATTTTTAGAGCCCGAACATGTTCTGGAGATCTTGCGAATGCTTAGTCGCAAATGGGAGACTTCCTCCAAGATTGCCCCTACATTTTTCACCCAGAAGGCCACTGTCAGCCACTGTCGCCTTTGCCATGTTGGCCCAATATGATCCTAGATTGGGTATGGGAGGGGCCGGAGGACAGCGCCGCATCGCCGATGCATCGGCGATGCATCGCCGATGCACCGCCGATGCATCGGCGACGTCGGCGGTACATCGGCGACGCTGGCGTGGAGACAGGCTCCTCATGGAGCCGCATCGCCGATGCATCGGCGATGCGGCGCGAGCCTCCGACCCCATCTTGGATGCCCCATTTTTCGGGGATAACTCCAGTCCAGGACACTTCTGGCTTAGGCCCCCGGCGCACGAGCCAGGAGTTACGCCTGCCCTCCCCCAGCCCCGATGATCCGGAAATTGTTGGATACCTGGATTATCTGGGACAGCTCCAGTCTGGAACATCTCTGAATTGAGCCCCCAAGGCAGGAATTAGGAGCTACCCCTGACCACCTCCAGCCCTTCTGATTCGGGGCACTGACCATCTACTCCGACCCCATCTGGGAGGCCTTGAGTGTATTCGTGTACTCCCCATGCAACTGAGATGAGTGGGGTGCTGTTTATACCGCTGTCGACCCTACACGAGCCGTCATCGTCATCGGCATCGTCGTTATCGTCACCGTCATCGTCATCGTCGTCGTCATCATCGTCTTCGATACAACTCGGGGGGAAGTGAGAAAGAGAAGGCCCTCTCAGGAGGCGGCGGGGCTTCTCAGAGGGCCTCTGGCCTTCTGCGAGGTTACCAGTGTCTCCGTGAGGGCTCAGGACACTTCTCGGAAGGCCCTGAGCCTTCGGAGCCTTCTGAGAAGACCCGTCCCTTCTCACTCCCCCCTTCGCTCGCCGCCGAAACTCGTGAGTACCAGCGACAACGACGACGACGCTGACGACGTTGACGACGACGACGATGACGACGTTGACGACGCTGCCGACGACTACGACAAAGACGACGACGATGACGACGCCGACAACGACGACGACGACGATGACAATGATGACGACGACGACGACGATGACGACGACAACGACGATGAAGACGACGACGATGACATCGTCGTCGTCGTCGTCGTCCGCATCGTCGTCGGCACAGCCCGTGCGCGCAGAGCTCCTGGGCCGTCTCGTTGCTCACGGCTGGCAACGCCTCCGCGCCCACGCCCTCCTCTCGGGGGCGGCCAAGAGGGGGGTGTCCGAGAGGGGGGGCGCAAATCATGGCTGGCGGCACGTGCGCGGCCCGGGGGGGGCCGGGGACGCATTAAAACAAGAAGAGGCGCCATGAAACCTGGGGAAGTTTCATGGCCGACCCCATCTACTCCGACCCCTATCTAGGAGGCCTAGATCCCAGGCGCCGGTTTTTCATCCCGAGTCCTTTGTTGACGACCCCGGGGCGCACCGTCCCCGTAAGGGCCCCCGTGAGGCGGAGAATAGAGAGAAACCTCCCGTCGTGTTTTTTGGTTTGTTACAACGCGAGGGGGTCTGTTGAACAGGGACGGGCCGTCCCGGCATTCCCATAGGCCTACCACGACATGTTCTTAGCACCCACACAAAAAATGCCAAACACAAAAACGATGTTCTTAGAACACAAAGCCGATGCGCAAAAACTAAACAATCTCAGCCAGAACTGTTCAAGGATCATTCCGTGCAGACCACAAATCAAGTTCTCATAACATTCTTTGGTGGGCCTGTAGGCGAGCCAGGACACTTCGCCACTGCTTGAGTCTGGGTTCCTACGAGGGGGCTATAAGTGCGGCCACGGCGAACACGCAGAAAGACCCCTGGGGAAACCAACAGGTACCGATACCGCCACTCCCCAGGCCTCTGCCCGGCTGCGTTCCGACCAGAATTTCGAGGCGAATCCAGCGGTGGCGACGAGGGCCTCCCAGGAGGGCGACCCCACCTGGGAGGCCAAGATCTCCGCCGCCCCCGAAAACCTCCGCGCCCACGCCCTCCTCGACGTCGGCGGCCGCCTCGGCGGCCGGGGCCCCCTCGGCGGCGGCGGGCGGCGCCTCGCCGGCGACGCCGGCGCCCTCGGCGGGGGCGGCCCCCGCGCTGTCCTCGCGGGCGGGAGGGGCGTCACGCCCAGGCCCCCTCCCCGGACCCCCTCGAATAGGGAACCAACAAAAATCATGACGGGAGGTTTTCGGCCATTTGCGGCATCTGGGGGTCCTCGCCGGGCCTCGGGAGCGTCAAAAAACGACTCAGGACGGAAAACTGGTCCAGGGGAGGTTCCCAGACCTCCTCGCGTTGTGAATGAATCACAACGGGAGTTTTTTGGCTAATTTCGGCCTCCGAGGGCCCTTCCCGGGCCTCGGGACTGTCAAAAAACGGCTCAAGATAAAAAACCGGTCCGTCCCTGGGGAGGGGTCCAGATCTCTGGGGGTCGATGTTGTGAAGAACCACGGCGTCGAGGTTCTGGGTTGTTCGCCATGTCCCACTTGGATCGCCGCGGTGGTTGCTAAGGGGATGGGGGGGTAGAAGTGGTTGCGAAAGTGGGCTTCCATCTGGCTGATAGCGCATCCTATAAGCGGGTCACAGGTCCCCAGTGTGGCTTAGGATGGTGAGGTCACTCCGCTAGGTGGGCTCTGCCACTTCGCCCATATCAGTGCGCAACCCACTTCTGGGCTGGGTTATACTGGATAGAACTTACCTTAGAATCCTCAGGCTTCCCCCTATCATCTTAACACCCCCGCCGCGATCCAAGCTGATCACCCGCGCCCAGAAAGCTTCGGTAGACATCTCAGTCTCAAATGATCAAGCTGAAGTCGCGGCCGGACGAAATCCGGCAACGGCCGAAGGGCGAATTTCGGCAACGGCAAAACGAATTCCGGTAGCGAACGAATGTGAATTTCTGTAGCTTTCCCTCCACCGCCATCCGCATCGCCGTCGCGACTGCGCGAGGTGTGATGATGATGTTGTTGTTGTTGATGATGATGATGAAAATGATGGTGGTGACGGTGGTGCTGCTGCTGATGATTATTATGGTGGTGGTGGTGATGATGATCTTCAGCTTCGCACGTGTACGGGGTCCGACCGCTTGGGGGCATCGTCTAGTCCACCACAGTCGGTCTGCCGCGAGTCCTGCATGCTTGCACACATGAGGGGGGTGAAAAGGTTGACCAGGTGAGACTGAGATGTCGATCGCAACAGCCTCAAAAGGCGATCGGCGAATCTTGGCCAAGATGCACCGAACATTGCACGTTACATGAATAATGATGGACATCTGTCTTCGAACTGTGCCGCAATGCACGCACGTGCACACAACAGAACCAATTACGCTCAACAGAACTGCGCTCCTAGTCCCCACCCTCCGCCTCCTCCTGAACCTGCTCCCCATCCCCCCAGTCGCTCGTCCACGCGCCGCATGCACCCATTGACAGGCACGCCTGGTAGCGCACGTGCGATGGAGAGTGGGGGAGGAGGAGAAGGAGCAGGAGGGGGGGGAGCAAGCGTCCCTGGAGGGCGGTCCATCCCCGCCGATGGACGCCGCGGGCGCGCCTGCGCCGAGCCGCTCAGGCCGTCGTTGAATAGTCCAGGGGGCCGTTGGCGCACGGGGTGGCGAAAGAGGCAGGGGCGTCGGCGTCGACGTCGAGGGAGGGGCCGAAGAGCTCCGCGAACTCAGCGCACCCGTGATAATGGTCGTGAAGCCCCGCGACTCCTTCTCCTCCCGCCTCTGGCTGAGGAAGTAGCATCGGGACAGACGGCTGGAAGTCTGAGAACGCCGCCTCGCCATCACCCTCGTCGAAGTTGGTGGCCGCACCGTCAAGGGTGTCCGCCATTGCCAAGAAGGGCGGGTCCGTAGTGCCGTGGCCATCAAGTTCGTCCGCCACTTCCAAGCATGCAGGACACATCAGAATCCCCGTGCTCGTCGGGCTCCAGGAGCGAGTTGGGTTTCGCCAGTAGCCATGCGACAAACTCGCGGTGCTCTTCCGAAGAAAAAGGGCTGGCGATCCAGAAACTCAGGCGCTCGCCGAAGTTGACCAGGGCCGAGTGGGACATCCGCAGTGGGTGGCCCACTTCCAGCGCGCGCTGGCCCAGCACAATCACCCAGAACAGCACGAAGAAGCGCGCGTGGAAGTCCGGGTTGAACACCAGCAGCCCGAGAGAGAGATAGAGAGAGAGAGAGAGAGAAAGCATTGAGGGAGCGGCGGAGATGGTTGAGCGCCAGCTCCAAAAGTGCCAATACGCCACCACCAACTGTCGAACCCGCCGACCCAGTGCGAGCAGCCGCGGGAACCAACTCATCCCCCTCTTGGCCAGGAAGCAGGGCAGGTGGTCCCAGGGGAACAGGAGGCTTCAGAACAACATCAGGGGGTGGCAGAGGAAGCTCAGCTGGACGGGGCCCTTCAGAGAGCACATGGTCGACAGCACTAGGAGGCTCATCAGGTTCAGCAGGTCCGCCCGCCGAAGGCGTCGGGCGAGACGGCGGCATGCGAAGACAGCGAATGACGCCCGCGTCGCCGCCAGGAGGGGCAGGGTCACCAGATTCACCGCGAGGCCGCGAGGGAAGACCGTGAGGGGGATCCTCATTAGCACGTGGAGTAACAGGCTGCACTTGCCAGGCAGCTGGCTGGCACGCAAGCTGGCCGACGGTGCATTCAAACTACTCGTCGCTCATCACTTCGTCCCCGAACAGCGGCGGCGGCCCCGTGCCCGGCTCGTCATGGCCCATCGACGTATCCATAATGCGAAGGTCCACGTCCGTGGGTGAAGGGGTAGTTGTCGCGCTGATCGCCGTCCTCCTCCGCTGCCGAGAAGCTGCCCTTGCCCGAGGAGGATGCCATGGAACGAAACTTGGGCCCCAACGGGTCTACATCCATTATCTCCAGCGAGGAGATGCGGAGCCAGATCTGCGAGTCCGGCGGCGGCAAGGCGCCAGAAGGGACCACTGATCTCCCAGTGCCACCAGCGCCCACCCAAGCCAAGAAACGAGCGCGCGAGGTCAGCGACATCCTCGAGGGATCAGGCCGCCATAGACGCATCTCACAGTGTAGGTCGAGGTTCCTGAGGGCAGCGTGAAGCACGGCGGGGTCATTGAGCGGGATGCGCGTCACGGAGAGTCGCCGAAGTCGCTCTCTCGATACTGCTGAGCCACACCACCCCGCCAAGCAAATCCCTTCGGCAGCTTGGCGCATAGCCGTGTCCAAGTTCGTCACCCGATCGTTCAACGCACCAGTCGAGCCACGCGTTGAAGTTGCCCTGCGGCTCCGCGAAGAAAACCGAGGGGGGCCAGGAAGACGCCCGCAATGTGGCCCTTTTTAATGAGCTCCCTTCTGCGATGGTCGGCGCCCTGTCTCGGGGTAATCGCACGCGCGCGAGCTCGATGAACGCGAGCCGCAGCAGCGTCCACGACCTCGCTGCTTCCAGCAAAACCCTGCCACGCCCCCCCCGCCCCCCCCCCCACGCGCCGCGAGCCCCCGCCCCCTGCGGAAAAGAAGGGGTGCCCTGGGGGAGGCTTGGACAGGTGGCGACGCTGAGCCTGGGTGTATCGGGACTTAGAATGTGCGATCTAACGCCAGGTGTGCAGAAGCTGCCATTGTGGAATTCGAAGCTGTCGGGGATGTCGGCGCCGTGCTGTTCGCCCGTGGCGATGCGTGGAGCATGAGAGGCGACCGATAGCTCCTTCTAGTCTCCCAGCGAGGCCACGCTAGACCTAAGCTCGTAGTCATCATCCGCAAGATCGGCTAATAAGAATACTGCTTCCACGTGCGATGGCGAAGGCCAAGATCCAGCAGAAGAGGGAAGCGACGGAAATGACGAAGAACAGGACCCACCGCTGGAGGAAGAAGACGAAGAAGACGGAGACGCGGAGCTGGATCCAGCTCGCGGCGCCACCGGCGTGACGAACCGCTCGGGGCGAAGGCGCGGCAGGCGAGGAATATGCTCAGGACGCTTAGCTCCTAGCGAGACAGCGCGAGGCGCTGCCGACGCGTGCGAACGCGCGAATGACGGCGACCTTTCTCCAGTCGGTGCCTCATGAGAGGCCGCGTGGCAGGCGAAGTGCATGATAGCAGCGTCGAAGATGACCCGCGAGATGTCCACCGCGCTGCCGAAGAGGCCGAGGCGGCCCAACGTGTGCGACGGTCTCGAGAAGCCAGATGCCTTCTCGATATGAACCCGACTCCGTCGGCAACCCAGGTGGCGCTGCACTCGGACGGCCTCTCCTGGACATCCGAAGCGGCATGCCAGACGGCCGCGATAGCCACGGATGCGATGAGAAGTTGCCCACCCGTTAGCAAGCGCTTTCAGGTATGATAGAGCCCTAGAAATAACACAGCCTCCCAAATATTTCGAAAGCGCAGCCCATCTCGACGGCGGGGTAATCGAAGTACCAGCCGCCGCCATATAGCGCACCAGCCTCCCCGCGGAGTGGTGCCACAAAGAATGAGGGCAGACGGCCTTCTTCACTGCAGCGGAGACGGTCCTCTGAAGGCCTGAGCTTGTGAGGGGGTCATAAAGCCAAGCTGCGGCAGCCCGTCTAGCAGCGCATGCCAAGACGGACGAGTGGTTGTTGCCCTTGTCCAGGAGCCCGTGCTTCACGTTGCATAGAGTTGCCACAAATGCTTCCGACTTCCAGAAACCAAAGATACGGTCGTGACGGCGCCGTCTGAGCCAGCGAACGGAGGTCGCCAAGACGGTGATGTTGTCGATTGAGCCAGTGGTAGGGCCCGTCGAACGCAGGATGCGCGTGGTAAGCCGCGCGCAGGAGCGCCCCCAAGCTAAGGGCCATCCATGAGCTGATCGCGGGCCCACCCGCCGATTTGAGCTGACGCCAGGCCAGTAAAGAAAATGTTCCCAGCGGCAGACTGGACGCGCGCGACAAAGCGACCAACTCACCGTTGAGAAGCCAGCCAGGCATCCGGCGAAATTGGGCCACACAAGACAGAACCATCGTGATCCTCGTGTTGTGGTGCACTGGAACCCGGGAAACAGGAAGATTGCTGCGACCCGCCACCTTCGAACGGGACTGCGCTTTGAACGACGGCGCATGCCGGCATGCATCAGCATCAGCTGCAGGACCAAGAACGAGGCCGAGATCTGTGAGCGAGCCAGCGGTGTTGATATTGCCAAAGAAGGGGGCACACGCGCGAAAGGTTTGTCGAACTTCCGCCTCCGCTGTGGGCGAGAACGGCTTGTGGAGCTGCGCCAGCTTGCACCTGTCGATCCGAAACTTCAGCGCGGCCGCGGCTTCTGCAGCGACCAAAATGTCTGCCACGATCGCCAGGGAAGACAGGCGACGCACTGCACTGACTATATCGTCCGCACAGGCGCGGGCAATGCCTGCTCTAGGAGTTTCGAGGCTCTTCTGCAAGTCCACTTAGCGTATATAGATCCACTTAGCGAGTAGCCCACCAAGCATGCGTCGGAACATTGCCGACCATCGAGGGGGCCTCAAGCTCGGCGCACAGCTGGTCGAAAACTGACATAAACGCTCTGGCGGCCTGCGTCGCCGAGAAGACCACGCACGTGAATTCCTGCGACAGGCTGGGGAAGGACGCGCCGTAGTCGAGAGCCACCAAGGAGGAGATGTCCTGCTGCGCGCTGGGCGCGTTGGAGTAGACCCTGCCGAGTGCGTCTAGCTCCGAGAAGTTGACGCCAAAGTTGCGCGACGGCATGAACCCTCGCTGCGATCGAGGGGCCCAACCGCGAAGTAGCTGACTGAAACGAGCGTCGGTTGCCGCCGAGATGATCTTCAGGTCTGCGTTGCGAAGGCCCAGAACCCGCACCGTAGAAAAAGGGGCCCGCGAGCCACCCGCAGCCAAGGTGCCTGCTGCATCATCTCCCCATCGGCAGCCTGACCTGGAGCGTGTCGTTGGAGCACTTAAATAGCGCCTGCCCAGAGATCGCCCAATGCATCGCATTAGAAAGGATCAACCAAAGAGACGGTGAGCAACGCGCCGAGTATGGAATCCCGTCAAGTCCTGGCTCCGGGCGTCGGAAGCGCTTAGCAACGTGTTTCAGTAGCTTCGGCGTCGGTGGCGACGCTGGGTCGAAGTCCAATGGGCGAACGTGTTGCTGGAGATAATCAGCAGCGAGGTCACGATTGATAGGCTTCGCCGTGAAGATAGGTGCCCAATGCTCGATCAACTTTCCGCGAATGTGCTGATCATAAAGATTTCACCATCCGTCTCAATACCTGTCAGGAACGTTCGCCGAGAAAGCGGTGACCAGACTATGGCTTTACGTTCCAACTGCTGTAGTTGGCTGCGAAGCTGCCACGCAGGACGCTCGTTGGCAAGTGCGGCTTCCAACTGCGGGCGACGCGCATCAATCTCGCGCCGCTGAATATTTCCGCCCCACCGCTGGCAAGACGGGGACATGGCGAAGAGCCGCCGACCCAGGGGAGACCACAAATAAGTCAGCAGCGGTTTGGTGCGCAGCGCGAAGACGAACCGCAAGCGCCACGTAATTGCGTCAAACGGCACAAGCTATATGCCGTACAAATACCAGGAGCGAGCCCTGAGCTTCATGACCACGCGGAGAAAACGACCTCGTACTCCGCGGGCGACTTCTTCGACGGGCCCTTTGTGCAATTCGACCTACCGGGGAAGAGAGCGGCTCGCAAAATCGCGGTGTCCCGCGACCGTGTCCAGCAGCAACCGAAAGGCCGCATATTCGAAGACGCACCGGGGGGCTGCCCCTGAAACTCCATCGGCTTCTCGGAACTCGGAACGCTATGAACGAGCAAACATGAGCAGCGTGGTCGCTGACTTCCTGCCCAAGAACCGCCTCTGGAAGACCCGAGGCATGAGGGGCAGGATGCCCGGGACAGAGAGCCCGCCCAGGCAGACCGATCCAGAGACGGTCGATAGCAGCCGCCGCGCGCGAGTTCGAGTCGCAGTGCGTCGGCCCATCTGAAGAGTTTTCGGTGATGTGCCCAAGTATCCCCAACCGCCGTGCCGCTTGAGCACGCTGGCCTCGCCCAGCCGCCAACGCGCGCCCTGGGCGATGGAGAACCAGTGGCGGCGAGTAAGAAAATTCCACTCGCCGTGCGCGACCGCAGTGGCCTTGAGCGGGTCAAGCTGCGCAGCTCGGGTGTCTGCTGCAAGCGTCTTGCCAATCTGGGGCAACTGCTCCACGCGTAAGTCATGGTTGTGTACATTGCAATAAGACAGATGATACCATTCGCACAATGCGAAGCCGAAGACGCCGCCCTGGGACAATTCCGGCAGGAACGACACGCGCAGGGCAATGTGCAGGGATGATAGTAGCCACTCCTCCTTTCACTGGCGAGTCGACGAAGTGCGAATAGAGGATCTGCAGGCCGCGAAAGGCGTTCCCGATCAGTTCCCGAAGCTGCACGGCATCTTGGTGCACCTCTTGCAAGCAAACTTCACCATGCAAAAAAAGTCTAACCGACGGAGGTAACCCAGCTTGACCTTCGAGCGCGCGCCCTGGTACTGAAGAAGAGCATGCGCGATCCAAGACGTGAATGCAGTGGGCGCCTTTGGCGAAGCGGGCCCGTTGATCATGCTGGAAGGCGGGCTAGGAACTCCACTCTGCCGCGGCAGGAGGCGCAATGAGGGCGGCAGCCGCCGCGGAGAGCTCCTGCTTGGGAAGGCCGAGCTCGGTGATGCGATTACCCGCCCAGTGGAGCGAGGACGGTGCGTTGCCTGGGTTAGGGCTTATCCTGAGAATAGGGTCCCAACCCGCCATGACATAACCGCGGTGCTTGTCCACGTGCCAGAACTTGGGCGAGTCGATGTCCTCGAAGGCTCCGCGCACCTTTCTGGCCTGCAGCACCGCGCGAATATGGCGAGGGTTTCTGGTGGGGCCGATGTAGAGAGAGGCGGGCAGCCCATCAGCGGCCTGTGTCTCAAATCGTTTCCACTGCCCAGGGCCCAGCCGTTGAGCGCCGAGTACTTCAGCCGTGCGTCGCGCCGCGGGCCCTGCTGCACCTCCAAACTCGATCGTGCAGCTGCGATGGACAGGCTCAGGAAAGGTAATTATGTAGTGCTCTGGCGCGACTCCAACTTCCGCGATCCGCTCAATGAAAACTTGCTTGACGTTGTCAAGGGAGGTGAGCATCGCAGCGATAGCCCTGATGATGCGCGGGTCTGTGTCCCGCTCGAAGCCTGCTGTGCTGACCAGGGGCTCCTTAGGCACGGCATTGGCGGCCACCGAGAGTTCGTTGAGCCTCTTAACTTCTGTCTTGAGGAAGGCGATGGCAGAGTCGTGGTCATCCAGTCGGGCTTCGGCAGCTCGCAACTTGATGCGGCATCCGTCAATACGTTCTTGGAGGCGACGATTAGTATCATCAATCCGCTTACCGGCTGCAGAATCCACCATCTTCGGCGTGTCCGCGACACCGCCCGCGAGCTTGGCCGCGCTCTTCGCGTGCTCTGCGAGCTCGGTGGCGAAGGGGCAGACGGCCTCGTCCACGCATGACTTGATTGTCTCGAGCGTGGTGTCTTTGTACTCGCGCAGCAGCCGAGCGGTCCCTTCTTGGACCAGGAGGCGGGTGTCGTTCGAATCCTCGTCATCCCAGTCGTCGTACATGCCACGAACATCATCAGCAGGAGTGTCACCAGCAGGACGGGGGGCGCCATGTGCAGGAGGCTCTCCACAAGCAAACTCTTCTGCGCACTCTTCAGCGAGGGCAGCATCATCCGCGCCAGAAGAATGAGCCGCACCCCCAGAGTGGCGACATCAGTACCACGGCGAGTCTTCTTCTTCGGCTGCTTGAGGACCAGGGCGGAGGCGGGCATGCGGCGGCTGCGCGCGCGGGCCCGCAAGACCTGAGCAACTCTTGGCCCCAGCAGCGCGCAGCTCGACTGGGGCTGCGTTGCCTAAAGCGGAGGCTGGCCTCGGACTAGAAGTGTCCACGTTCTGTCCGAGGGACAAAGGCATCTTGAGCCAAAGTGGCTACGGACTCAGGAGGAAGAAGAGGAGGAGGAGGAGGAGGAGGAGGAGGAGGAGGAGGAGGCGCAGGCGGAGGAGGAGGCGGAGGAGGAGGAGGGTGGGCGAGGCGCTCTCCCCGACTCCTGGGCGGCCGGGCCATCCGCGGCGGCCGCGGCCGCGGGGGGCCCGCCAGCGCCCTTCGCCTCGGCCGCGGCCGCGGCGCCGACCTTGCGGTACTCGTACTCGTCGTACTCGTCGTACTCGTCGGAGTTGACGTAGCCGTCCCACTCGCGGTTCAGGAACCGGGTCAGGTCCTTTCGGGGAGCCACAGTCGGGGTCCACCAAAGGGGGGGGGCCCTGAGGGGGGGGGAGTTCGATCCGCTGGTGCGTCGAATTTCCGAAAAATTATGTCCCCCGCGCGCCCCGATTGTCGACGCCTCTCGGGTTCAGGCGGCGGCCGGAGACCTCGTTTTGCATTGTTTTTCTGCGGTTCGATGCGCCAACGGACCGAACTCCCCCCCCCCCTGTGCCCCCCCCCTTTGCGAGGTCCCGACGCATACGGTATGAGCATGCACTGTCGGTACACCGCGCCGACTCCCTGGAGAGGTGTGTGCCGTCTTTGACACCCACAAGGTGCCGACGAGGAGGCATATCTTGGATGGAAGAATCGTGGCTTGGTGTATATTACTCCCATCGTGCTTAACAACCACATCCCAGAAATAATTTCGAGCACCCGGAAAAGTGTCGAAACAGTGTCGGGCGAGTGTCTCCCAGGGCCCGACACGTGAAAACCGTCGAGTTTCGGTACTGTTTTGGTGCTCGAAAGTCTGCCTGGTGGTCGAGGCGAAGGTAGGTTGGAACATCATAAGACTTGGCGCTGGAGCCCCCCCCCCCTTGGCGAGAGGAGCGCGCCAGGGGCGCTGCCAGAGGCGCCACCCCGGGGGGGGGCGGGGGGGGGGCGCGCCGAGCCAGGACCTCCGCGGGCGGAGCCACAGCTGCTCTCCCGTCGGCGGCGGGCTTGCAGGGTGTGTGTGTAGTGGAGGCCAGGTCGACAAGAAGCCTTCCACGGGAGACGCCACCCTGAGGCCCCAGGACGTCCCTCGAGTCTGAAGCGGCCCTGGGACACACAAGTAGATAGACACAACTGACAGGATTCCCAATAGTTTACCATGTTTTCTGGGTGTGTGGCTTCCCCTCCACTTCCCATCGTTTCCCATCTTTTCGGGGGAATCGACAATCAATTGTGTCTGTGTGTGTGTGTTTTTCCCCCCTCCTGAGTTTCTTGGTGTGGGAGCGTCGCGTTCTCCATCGCAAAACCATCGGAACCCCAGAAAAACACAGGACCACTCTGCGCGGCAGAAGAGATGATGAGGGCGCGACGGACGTGTTCCACTCGGCATGCAACGCGACAAAGTGGATGTGTTGTCGACGCGGTGGACGTGTTCCACTCGGCGTGCAACAATGACAAATACAGCTGGCTGCAGGTCTGAAAAGGATTCCGTATGATCCCACTACAGCTGGCTACCCCTCTTGTCACACTTCCAGAAGGGGCGCCTCGAGAAAACAGTGACAAAAACGCACAGCAGCAGCTCGTGTGCCCACCGAAGGGGGAGGCCCTCTCAGGCCTCCTCGGGGCTTCTCGGAGGCCCTCGGGCCTTCCATCGAGGCCGCAAGCATCAGATCCGAAAAGCCGCAGGCGGCTTCTCGGGCCGCAGGCAAATCGGGTCTGCGGCGGCCGTCCGGGACCATCCGGACACCCCCGGAACGCTCTGGGCGAGGCGTAGTGGAGGCCAGTCCACAAGAAACCTTCCAGAAGAAGCCCAACCCTGAGGCCCCAGGACGTCCATAGATGTTTGGGTGGGAACGTAACGCTTTACGTAGCAAAACCATCGAAACCCAAGAAACCCAGGGCACCCTGGAGGCAAGCAGGGTGTTTCTTGGCATGGGCCTCCACTGTAGCCGCTGGAACGCATCCTGAGGCTGGAGATCCGTGGAGAGCATACGAAAACGCCCGAAGGCATCGAACCTCGAACCCGAAAAGTTCCCCCTGGAAACGCCGCCGAACCCTGGTCGGGTCCTCGGCCGTCATGTCCTCCACCCTCTTCTTGACGCGCCTGGCCCGAAGGTGCTTGGCGACGTGCACCTTCGGGCAGGGCCTGGCGCACCCGAACTGCCCGCGCAAGAAGAGGTGCTCCTGGACCTCCGCGCGGCTGCAGTCTGGGTTCAGCTCCGGGTACTCCTCCGGGTGCAGCAAGCGCATCCGCATCCGAGCCCTCGCGGTCTTTAACAGTCTGCAGCACATGCCTATCCCCATGACTGGCATCGCCGTGTCCCGAGGCCGAGCTCAAGGATTCCCTGAGTTCCTGAGGTCGCCTTCCTGAGACTGTCACCGCCGTGGGGGCTGTCAACCTTAGCGAGGGATAGGGACAAGCTCGAGGCTGGGCAGGTCTGGAGAGAGGTTGAAGTATCAAACTGCGCAGTTCAATGAATGTTGGATGGCGTCCAGGTCCGCCGCCGAGATTGCAGCGGTTGGTGTGCGACGGGCCCTTTCGGCATGTGCGAACTGATGAAATGAAGGCGCCCCCTCGACGCATCGAGCCCACGGCGCGTTTATTTAGTGTGGCCAAGTGAGTGCAACGAACATACGGTGATGGCATTGGATACGGAAACTTTCGATAAGGAATCCATGGTCTAGAAGCCAGTGGAAAGCAAATCGTGGATTGGCCATGGATATCACCGCCGCCCTCATGAGATAAGGAACCCTCCAGGGTCTGACGCCTCCTGGGCGCATTCCTTAACCAACGCCTCCACCGTACCTAGGACCTGCGCGTAGATACACTAAGGCACTGGGGCCCTGTCCCAGGGAGCTTCAAAGAACGGTGTCTCCGCAGAGCCACGCTTGCAGGGGGTGAACATGCGCGTGAGATGATTGGCCGTCCCCCTCTCCCTCTCCCCCCTCCCCGGGGGTCCAAACTCCGATTCTCGGGGGGGATCCCTACGAGCTCGCCAACGCCTTCCCGGGTCTCCAGAGCCTCCAAAACGCCGCTCAACACACAACGCGCGCCACAACAATTTTAAAGAGCGTCGAGACGGCCAAAGGTAGCCCCCCGATGGTCCAAGATGTTTCGAGACGGTCCACGGGGCTCCAAACAGGACCCGAAAGTGCTTCCAGAGGACCGGCAAGAAGGCCCTCAGAGGCCACACTCGTCACATTCCCGAAGGGAGACCTATATTTCCAGCACGCTCGCATTTTTCGCACTGACAGCTTCTAAGAGACTGCCAAAGGGACCCCCAAGATTCCCACAAGACGGCCAATGAGGCTCCCAAGAGGGCCACAAGACTGCCCCAGAGGGCCCTGATGTGGCCCCAGGCTCCCCCAAGACGACCCCAGACGGCCCCAAGAGGGTCTCAAGAGCCCAAGAGGGGGAATACAAACTGATATTCCAAACTTTTCCCCCCAAGATGGCCCCGAGAGCTCCCCGGAGGCCCCTGAGGCGCACCCGGAGGCCCCAAGAGGCCTCCAAGACGCCCCCAGGAAGCCCGCAAGAGGCCCCAAGCGGCCCCCAAAAGCCTCCCAAGAGAGCTTCATATTCATCCAAGAGGCTCCTGGCCCACAGCCCAGGCACGGTGGCGTCCTCCTCCTCCTCCTCCTCCTCCTCCTCCTCCTCGAGTTGGGCCAAAGGCCACTCGATATTGTCCAGTCGGCGCAAGCTCTGACTTCTTCTCGAGGTCGGCGGAAGGGCACGAGCCACTTGCATCAGTTCCTCGCTGGTTCGCTGAGGCGCAGGTATTGAACAAGAATACGTACACACTGCTATTTGACCCTGAGTGGTGGGCAGTCATAAGAACAGTATAGTGGACAGGTTCCTGGCCCAGAATATCAGTATCATCACTCTCGCGTTTGTTTGTATCTATGTGTATATATATATATATAGATTCGATTGTAAATTTGATGAACAGTCCCATGTATATAGAACGGCGTCTAGTGTGAACGTTGAGGGTGAGTGTGATGGGGCTGGATCCCCCGTCGATGGCGCGCTTCGCGGATACGCGGTCGAACGGACACGTTCCGCGCCGGGCATACGCGAAAAAACGCGCCGTATCTGCGGGGTCGCGGCCCAGGGGTCTGGCCCGCGAAGCCGCAGATGCGCATATGCTTTTCGCCCACGAACTCCTCCGGGTGCAGCCAGAGACCGGTGTTCAGGACCCGCGTGACAGCCCTGTCGCAGCTCGAGTCCCGCTTCGCGTCCTCGCACTCCTCCAGCTCGGAGCGGACCCTCAGGGCATTGGGGCTCACTTCGGCCGTCGGCTCCGGGCGAGAGGTCGTAAGCTCCTCCACGGGCTCCGCCGCATCGGAGTCCGACGAGCAGGGCAGCGGGCAGCCCATCTTGCCCTGCCTGTGGAGCACGGTCTGAAAGACCCCAATGCTGGAGTCGCGGGTGAGCGTGGGATACCAGTCGGGGTGCTTGTCAAGACCAGTGTTCTTCAGCCACTGGATGGAAAGGTAACACCAGTCGCCCTCCATGGCGTCGCCGCAGTCCGAGGTGTCCGCGAGCTCGTAGGCCTCGCTCAACACCTGTCGGCCGTTGTCGTCAACTTCAAGCACCATGTCGTCTGGCGACTGCTCGAGCCTCTTTGCTATACCGACCTGGCAAGGCTTCGGGCAGCCAGCCTTGCCGAGGGTGTGTAGGACGGACTGCACTTCCTGCATGGTGGAGTCTTCGCTGAGCGACGGGTACCACGCGGGGTACTTCGCCAACCCCCTGTCTGGAAGCTAACACCCCATAGATGGTCCAGGGCTTGGGCCCCCCCGTCCCCCCAATGCAGATGCCCCCCCCCCCCCCCCCGCGCGATGGTCCCCCCCCCCCCCCCCTGGGCCGTGGTGCGCGGTGCCCCCCCCCCCTGTGGATGTGTGTGGTGCTGTGGTGGTTCAGAGGGGGCGTGGCGTGGTGCTGCGCTGCGGTGCCCCCCCCCCCCCTGGATGTGGTTTGGTGCTGTGGTGGTTCAGAGGTCGTCGTCGTCGTCGTCGTCGTCGTCCTCGTCGTCCTCGTCGTCCTCGTCGTCGTCGTCGTCGTCGTCGTTCGTCGTCGTCGTCGTCGTCGTCGTCGTCGTCATCGTCGTCGTCGCCGCCGCGCCGGCGTCGTCGCCGCGCAGCCGTCGCCGCCGCAGCCGTCGTCGTCGTCGTCGTCGACGTCGTCGTCGTCGTCGTCGTCGCCGTCGTCGCCGTCGTTCGTCGTCGTCGTCGTCGTCGTCGTCGTCGTCGTCGTCGTCGTCGTCGTCGTCGTCGTCGTCGTCGTCTGGGACCATACCATCTGGGGGGGGGGGGGGCCGAGGAATCCTGGGACCATCCATCTGGGGGGGGGGGGCGTGGGCCTGGAGCCCGGGATCATATATGCTTGCGCCGTGAGTCTGGGCGAAAAAAATTGGCTGGTTTCGTCAGATCAGGGGAGCGTCAACAACAACGAGTCGGAACCAGAATGAAAGACCGGCCCTGCGGGGGCGAAAGGTCGGATGTCTGGACTCGGGCCTTCCGTGGACCCCGTATGGCGAAACGAACCACGACATCGCTTGTCTAGGAACAGGGTGTGAACGGCATGTAACCACCAATGGACTTCACCCACGCTTCGTCCACTGGGCGTTCCCTGCTTGCGGCTCCCTCTTTTTCGGGCGTTGGCAGAACTGGGTTTAGTGGAACCTGGTTTAGTGATGTGTACTGGGGGGCGCCCCCCCGCCCCGTGCCACTAAGCGGAACTGCCGTTACCCGAAACATACAGCTACGGCAGACCTGGTTTCGCGAATCTGGCAAATTTAGGGGCTCCAGGGCACTACTACTAACCGGGTCCCCTTACTTGGGCTCCTGGCTATAGCCGACTTTTGTACTCCCATCCCCTGGGCCCCCTCCCGGCCTGTCGTGTAGCCACTCCACAGCGTGGTAGCACAAGCTGCCGGGCTGCGTGTCGTGGCAGCCAGTGCGGTGGGGCTGGCCTGCCGCGGTCGTGTACAGGCTCCCCGCTCTGGTCTTCGGCTCCCAGCTGCTCTCCATCAGGGCGTCGAACTCCGCGGCCCTGAGGCCAAAGGTCGCTGCCAGACTCTGGACGGTGGAGCTCTGGATCTGGATCAGCGCCAGCGCGAGACGCTGGCCGCCTGAGTCCTCAGGACAGGGCCGCGGGCACTCGGCCTCGCCGAGCTCGTGCAGGAGCGCCTGAAAGTCCCGCATGCTGTACTGGCTGGCGTCGCCCGGGAACCAGTCGGGGCGTCGCTGGTGGCCGGTCTCCATGGCCCACCGCACCGCGGCGTGGCACCACTCGCCAGGAGCCGCGTCTCTGCACGCCATGGCCTCGTGATCACCCCGGCCGTCGGGGCGAAAGAAGACGGCGGAGCAGGTGCGGAGCAGGATGCCAGCCAGGGCGAGGCACCGCATTTCCGCGGGAAAGCGTGTAGTAGTTGGTGGTAGTCGGATAGTCGGACGATCCTGTATAACGTTACGGAAGTGTGGCCAAGCGTCCCATCTGGGGACTGGGGGCTTGATTGGTACGGAGGAGGCGGAGCAGCAGCAGGAGGCGGCGGAGCAGAAGGAGGACGAGGAGCAGAGAGAGTTCGAGGGGCGTCGGTAGGAACAGGAGCAGGGGCCTTCGTAGCGTGAAGCGCCGTGCGGCTCGGCTCAGAAAGCGGCGCTGAAACGACCCCCCGAACCACAACACTTCCTCTGCAGCCAGTGTCGTCACCTGCGATACAACTGTAGCACCCTATATACCCAAACCCCGATCGTCGCGACTTGGTTCCCAACGTCGACCCCTTCCCCGGAACCGGTTGTTCATCCCGGGTCGTTTTTGTTGACGGTCCTGGGGCCCCGTGAGGACCCCCCGAGGCCGACAATCGCGAAACCCCTCCCGTCGTGATGTTTGTTCCTGGCGCGAGGGGGGCCTGGGAAGGCGGCCAACGGGATGCCCAGCAAAGCAGGGCAGCGGCGTGAGCGGGCGACCCCGCGGGGTCCACCGGAGGTCTGGTCGCGGCCAGCGTTCAGTCGGGCCTGTCCTCCTACAGGGGGATTTCGCACGAAACATTAAGAACAAAATCATAGGATACCCCCAAATGGCCAACAAAATAACCAAAAACTTGTCCCCTAACTATTTTTGACTATTCTTGAAGACTCCTCCTGTAGAGGGACAGGCCCGACTTTAGGCCAGCGGGACGCCGACCGGATCCCGCGGCAAGAGCAGCGACCTCCGCACCAGTCGGAGGGCCCGCGTCGGCCCGCCGACATTCTCTCAACTGGCCACGGCCCGCAGGGCCAGCTGCTGGGCATCTGGTTGGCCGCCTTCCTGGCCCCCCTCGCGCTGTGAACAAAAATCACGATGGGAGGTTCTCGCTTTCTTCGGCCTCTGGGGGCCCTGACCGTGGGATTGGGCCTGTCCCCCTACACAAGCGAATTTCGGACGAGAAAAAAAAAAGAACAGGCCAACAAGTATCCGAGAGCATTCAAAAATAATCCAAAAACCGTCCCCATAATATTTGTCCCGCAATCAGTGCTTGCACTGAAGGGGTCCGAGCGGGAATTGGAAGATTCGGCGAACAAATCCTGCCGATGTTGGTAGCCGGCTGGGTTCCCGGGTACCCGGTTCCGGATTCCCGGGTTCCTGGCTACTGGTTCCGGGCCGATCAAACCATCCACTGAATGGGGATTTTCTCTGGTGTAACTTTTGGCAATTCTTGCATATTGCTCCTGCAGAGGGACGTGCCCGACTTCACCTTGCCGGTCCTCGGTGCCGTCAACAAAACAACCCGCGGGCAAGAGCAGCGACCTCCGCACCCCTCGGGGGGGGCCCAGTCCTCGGCACCGGCCGCGGCCCGCGGGGCCAGCCGCGGACTCGGCGACCGCCAGCGAGATCGCCGACAAGACTCCGCCGCCAGAAAGCGCCCGCCACCACGCATACACTATAAGATGTCTCGGTGCGCGCGTCGCCCCTGGGGGGGCGACGCACACATACTCCGAGCTTCTTCTTGGTAAGCGTCGGGGGGGCACCACACCCGCCGACAGCCCCACGTCGACCCCCGTCGCGGGCAGCCACCGCGCGCCGAAGGCGCTCCGACCCCCGTCGCGGCGCGACGACGAGGCGGGGTGGACCACGTCGGGGGGGGGGTACTCCCCCACGCTTTTTAAGAAACCCAGAGTGGGCGGCGCCCTTCCCAGAAGGCTCGGAAGTCCCCCCCGGCCTTCTGAGAAGTTGCCGAGCCCTCCCCGGAAGACACAGAGCACCTCTCGGAAGGCGCGAGGGCTTCTGCGAAGTCGCGCCGCCTTCTGAGAGAGAATAGGGGGAAAACAAGCCTACCTCGCTTTTGACCACCCTCGCTTCCAAGAGATACCCAACGATGCCAATGTGCAGCCTGTGCTGGTCAGGCCGCTTGACGAGGAGGCGCGTGGTATGGCTTGGTTTTGCCTGGAAGCGAAAGCGGGGTAGGTGATTCACGCTCTGAGAGAAGGCCTTCTCCTTGAGGAAGATTCCAGCATGTGTTTCGAGCTGCGCCGAGCCAGGAAAGAGCTCTACGAGGGTCCCGGCGGTAACCTGGTTGACGGTTTACCGCCGGCTCCCAGTAATTCCGGCGCGCTGGAGCGCGATGGCTTCTGAGAAGTCGCGCCGCCTTCTGAGAAGGCCTTCTCCTTCTCACTCCCCCCCCCTCGCTCGCCGCGGACACGCCGAGCTGGCCGGGCGGCCGACCGACCTCGCGACGGTGCTGTTGCTCTGCGGCGGAGCGGGCCCAACCAGCGGTCGGGCGGGGCAGGACGGGACGAGAACGCGGCCACGGAACGGACGGAGAGCTCTCAGACCATGTACTCCAGATCTCGTAATAAAAGGGAGGGGGTCTGGACCCTCCAAGACAAGCCATTTCAGACCTCCCCCGTGGGAGAACCCTCCAAAACATCGTCCCCAGACTCCCCCAGGCCCTCCAAGATGGCCTGGAAGAGACCCCCCCCCCGAAATGAGACCCCCCTCCCTTTATTACGAAATCTGGAGTAGATCTTCGAGCGGTGCCGGAGGTCCGGCTCATGATCTCGAGGGCGGCGCGGCAGAAGAGCGGCCTCTCGGCACGGCGCCAAGGCAAGCGGCAGCTGGGACCAGTCACGAAGCTGGCAGGGGCCAGCCGCCAGAGTCCGCGCGAGCACTCGGGGTCCGTCGGGGGCTGCTCGCGGCCAGGCGGGTGCCCGGCGAGCCAGGTCGAGTGTCCGGCCGAAGCAAGCAGGCCACTGGAAGCGGGCACCGGGTTGGGCCTGTCGGGTCGGGCGAAAGGGGGGGATAGCAAAAGGGGGGTTTGAGAATCAGCTCACGTAGCTGATTTTCCCGGCGCCTCCCGGCGCCGGAGGCGGCCATGTATCGAGGAATGGGCCCCTCGGTGAGGCCGACACCAGCTGCATGCAGCAAATTCCGTAACCCCCCCATTTCCCAATCCCCCCCTTTCGCCCGGCCCGAGCCTGGGGCCCTCCACTCAAAATTCGACTCGGACAAGCCGCCATTCGGGGCCCAGCCGTCTGTTGTTCCCATCGCACTGAAGGGCCACATCCCAGAAATCATTCCGAGCACCCAGAACGGTATCGAAAACAAGTGTCGAACGAGGGTCGCCTCCCAGAGCCTGGCACGTGCAAACCCTACAGTTTCCGTACTTTCGTGGTGCTCGGAATTCTTTCTGGTACTCCAGATTTCGTAATAAAAGGGAGGGGGTCTGGACCCTCCAAGACAAGCCATTTCAGACCTCCCCCGTGGGAAAACCCGCCAAAACATCTCCCCAGACCCCCCCAGGCCCTCCAAGATGGCCTGGAAGAGACCCCCCCCGAAATGAGACCCCCCTCCCTTTATTACGAAATCTGGAGTAGTCAAGCTAGAATAGGGTGGAACATCACAAGCCGAGTCCCTGGTCGCGACTCGCGGCTGCCAACCACCCCGAGACCCGACGCTCCTCCGTGCCACCCGGAGCGCGCGCAGCCCCTAAGAGACGTCCGCGGCCCTCCGCCCCCCGGACCTCCACGATCCACGATCCGCCGGCGGGATCGCGTGGCGACCTCCACGATCCACGATCCACGATCCGCGATCCGCGATCCGCCGGCGGGATCCACGATCCGCCCCCAGTCCTCCACCTCCAGGAGGTGGCGCCACTCCTACGGCGGGATCGCGTGGCGATCACGACGGCGCTGGCTCCTTATACCGCGTGGATCGTCCACCCTCGAAAGATCGCAAGCGTCCGACAACGAGAATCGAGCGGGCGTCGCTTAATGGGGGGGGGGGCGCTAGAGATAGGGGGGGTAAGAGAAGTGCGCTTCTCGGCCCTCAAGGCCTCTCTTGGGCCCCTTTGGGAGCCCCAAAGTGCCCCTGTTCTGCAGCCCTTGCTGCCCCCCACCCCCCGTTAAGCGCGCGACGCCCAAGTCGATCGATGTCGGCCGACTCAAGGCCATTTGAGGCGCTCGACCTGGAGCCCCCGCGCGGGGGTCGCCTCAGGAACGGCCCCGCGGGGGACCCGTCGATGGCCCCCGGAGGCGCTGCCAACGGCGAAAAACCGCCGCATGCGTTTTTTTTCGATGCGCTGGGGGTGTTGGAGCGCAGCGCGAACGTGCCGCAGCTGTGCTGGGGCCGCTCTGGGCCTCACGAGTCGGCGGCGAGCGAAGGGGGGAAGCCGGGACGCCAGAAGGAGAAGACCTTCTTGATGGGCCTGTTTTCCACTAGTTACCACCATCAGTTGGAGAGGGGAAGGAAAGGATAAGGAGGAGGAAGAGGAGGACAAGGAGGAGGAGGAGGAGGAGGAGGAGGAGGAGGAGGAAGAGGACCCCCTCCCCCTCCAACTTCTGGTGGCGGTGGTGGTGGAAAACAGGCCCATCACTTCTCCGAAGGCTCGGACGGCCCCCCGGCCATCCGAGAAGTGTTCTGAGCCTTCCCGGAAGACACAGAACACCTCTCGGAAGGCGCGAGGGCTTCTGAGAAGTGCCGCCGCCCTAGGAGAAGGCCTTCTCCTCCTCACTTCCCCCCCTCGCTCGCCGCCGAATGAGGGGTGCTCGTTTGAGGGCTTTGGGCCCCCCAGCCTGCCGTCGCTCGGACGTCCGTTCCCCGTGCATGTTTCAGCCTCGTGCGTGGCTGGTTGCTCGATGGTCCAGGATGCTCGTCCATGGTCCTCGCCGAGAACAAAATGCACACGTCCGAGCGATGCCAGGCCAGAGAAATCCCGGGGGCACCTGGGACCAGGGACGCACCTGACATGAGGTCGGGCATGTCCCCCTACAGGCGGATTCTGGACGAAAAACGAAAAATAGCCCAAACATGCTCCAAGATGATCAAACATAGCCGAACAATCGTCCCGAGACTAATTTTGGACTATGTTTGAATACTCCTCCCGTAGGGGGACAGACCCCGACTTAACCCTGGCAGCACCCGAAAAGGCACGCCGGCGCAGGGGGGCCGTCGCCGCGCCAGCGCGACCCCGGGGGCGTGCCGCAGTGGGTGACCAACCCCGCTGGCACTGCGGCACTGCCCGCCCCCAGCCCGAAC